TATGAAAATGCTAAAAAGTTTTGTTTCGTCAACTGTTCTTGGTAAAAAAAAAACAATTTTTCATGCTTCTTTTATTCTTCTGATGACAGATCCTCTAACCAGCCATGAAACTGAAGATTTTGCACTCAGAAATAATTCAGTTCTTCAGAGCAGACACAACGTTGTTATAACATAAACCAACAGTAATGATCCCTGCAGGGAAACCCTCATAAACAAGCCAGACAAGACTGCAAAACTGGGGCAACAGTGCCACCCGGTGGACAAGTCTGATATGACACCCTATCCACATTAAATCCTCTTTATTATATTACATATTCCTCTAATAAGTCACCTATAAATAAAGCTGATTGTCTGAGTCCTCATTCAGTTATCAAGTGTTATATTTGGCAGAGGATCATAAGACCAGCATCATTCTTCAGTCTATTATATACATTGTAGTTTTCCAGATACAAACTGCACGGCTTTACCAGCCATTGCCCAACATACCCAGTCCTGGCAGCTGCAATGCCCACATACAACTGCAAATCAACCCAGCTACTGGGAACTGAGGCCCTGTCACCAACATATAACATGCAGGAAAAAAGTAATTTAAAAAATGTCCTACTTTTCCTTTCCATATTTTTATTTATATACTTCCAACGTGCTGGGAAATTTTAATACTCCAATAAGTTAATTTCCTAGTACAGCCCTTTCTTGATCATAGCCCTCTTCTCTTCTGGGAGTGTATAGTCACGGTGTGCTGGCCCAGCTCTTTTGCCCCTCCTATCACCTCCTTACATAAACTTTTATATAGTAGTGAAGGGAATGACTCTCTGCCCAGCTTCCCAATTAGCCAGGAAGCCATCTCCATGCTCCCTTGTCACCAGGTGTCGAGGAAGCATGGAGGCGGCTTTCTGTCTCACACGCTCCCCCTCCCAGACACTGCAGCTCACAGTGGGAGGGTATCAGCAATAGAGGCAGTGCTGTCAATCTAGAAAGCAGTGGGCGGGACTGCGGGTGGCCAGGGGCTGATTGACAAGCTACAGGCTTGAAAGAGCTGATCCAGACAGGCAGCCACCATTGACAATCTGTAAAACTAGCCCCACCGTCACTTTGTGTGCAAACAGTCATGGCCAGACCATACCATGTACAAACAAAACAATAGTCAGCACTGTTCCCATGTGACCACTCCTATCAGAAGTTACATGAGAAAAGGGCTTCTGACTGGCATCGGAAGCAGACATCTTGCATCCAAGACAGGTAGTTCTGGATGCACACAATCTTTGTGCTTGCATGCGGCCATTGCCCAGAGTCCTGTTGGGTCCACATGGAGAAGTTTAGCCACCTGTCTGAAGGAGCTTTACAATCAGCATTGACAATGCTCCGGGCAATGCCTTCTAATCCCACTTTATTTAATATAGGCACAGATTATATAAATGGTGACAACACTGCTTTGAATTCAGGAGCAGTGCAGCAGTGTTGTCACCCATCACAGGAAGCTGACTTCATAGGTATTTGTGGGACTTTGCAAGAGGACTAAGAAAACTAGAAGCACAGATACACTAATAATGAAATGTTGCAGAACAGATTTTTATTGTAATGGGAGGCTATAGTTTTACTTTAAGTATAGATATCCAGCTTGTTGCAAAGGGCCAGTCGTGACTTGTCCCCTTTAAATCCCTGCCTCTTGGGATGGCCCTTGATTTACCCCGTGTGATAGTTAAAGTCCTGGACAATCCCTATAAATCCGATCCCTGGGAAAACCAAGTTACCCATAATCCTTAAATAAACATCGGCAATACAGCGGAAGCCTGAGCCGGATCACCGAGCAGACTAGTCCAGCTCAGTGTGATGTGTGGGGAGGGGGATTTCAGCTGTATAGCTAGAACATAAAGGATAAAGGACCCCCTTGCTTTATTTTAATGTGACCCTTCTAAGAAAGTCCCTCTGTTTATACCGATGATTATCAAATATCCCATTGATATCATGTTTAAACTTCCTGAATTGTCCTTTCCCTAAAGCCAAGAACAACAATGTAATATGAAGCAGAGTACCAGTCCTCACATGTCATGTCTATATGGTTTGCAATATTGTTTCCCTTTATTTTCACCTGGTGATCCTGACACTAAATGTGCCCATACACCTTGAGATTATGGTACGATAATCGCGGGAAGGCGTTTCTACTGTACGGTCGCACGTCTTTTGTCGAAGCGCACAATGCCCGTTCACCATTGCGGTCATCGGAAGCTCGCCCCTCAGCGGGGCGGGCTTTTCGAGGATCGCAAGTACGATCTGCCTGTCCAAGATGGGCAGAGCGTACGAGCTTTTAATTAGCTTACAGCTAGGGATGTCTCGATACCGATGCTAGCATCGGAATCGGGCCCGATACACAGTATATATTGCTAATACAGTGCAGACAATACATAATAACATGAATGTATTAAATGATCTGTATGTAGCCCTGTACTATGGATCATTTAACCCATTCATGTTAGCAGAGGATCATTGTAAATGTATTGTTGCATGCACTCTATGTACATGTACTACATACTATATATAGAATGCACTGAACAATAGATTACAATTATCCTCTGCTAATATGAATGGGTTAAATGATCCGTAGTACATAATATGTAGCCCTGTACATGTACTTGGGCCCGAAAAAGTGGCATCGGGACATCCCTACTTACAACCATTGCAAGACAAAAGTCTTGCGATGGTTGTAAGGTGTATGGGCAGCTTAACACACTTCCTGTCCTCGAGTGACAATGCTCACTCACTGCACTGTATCTATGGAGGAGAAGTGTTGTCACCCTAGGCTGCACAAACCCAACACTTCAGTATTTAATACAATACATGCTGGAGAGTTACACCACCTGACAGTCTCTTGAGGATTCTAATGAAAAGATCTCTGTGCTGAGTTCCCAGGTCTGCACACATACGGTGGTTATTATAAAAGGCTCCCATTCTCCCATTTATTTTCTATTATGGAGAATGTAGGAGGAGCTGGGACACACAAACAGTGGACGGGGACACACAAAATTCCCAGGAGGACATTCGCAGGGGGTGGCTTTGGACATTTTTTGTTTTCCAGCTTCCCAACCTCCTGTAAATGGTAGAATACCCGAGTGTAATAAATTATTGAAATGCAACAACATATGCTAATAGACACTGATTGCAATACTGACATTCTGATGTACTCTTATGTCTTTTATCTGTTAAAAATAAGTCAAGGCAACTGGACTTGCTGTATTTTTCTTGAAGACGTTTCACTGGCCATCTGACCAGCTTTCTCAATTCAGAATGACTTGTACAACAATTATCTGGGAATAAAACTATAAATTCGTGCTGAAGTTGCTAGAGGGCCAGACCATTATAAATAGGGAAGCAGGTTGTTTACCACGACAGTAGAAGTGATTTGTTTCTGAAGATACGGGTAAACAACGCGATTTAACAGCCTTTGAACGTGGGATGATTGTTGGTGCTCGGAGCCATGGAGCGAGTATCAGCAAAACAGCAGAATTCGTTGTGTTCAACGAATTCTGTTTAATGTTCAAGAGCAGCTGTTGTTAAAGTGTTTAAAGACTGGACTGTCAGCCAAAAATCTGCGTCTGAACGTGCCTTGGCGCGGCTGTGCGGCTTTCACATTTTCTGCAGAAGACGTGTATCCAAACCTCTCTTATTAATCTTAGTGGTGAGACAAGTTGTTTTACATGCTGACTTGTGAGTGTGGCATGATGCCTTTCTACTGTTTACAGCCCATTTCGTGTGCACCTTACTGTATAGTTGGTGACAAATTGTTGAGTGCGTTTGTCATTTGTTTTGCTTGAACGTGCGAATTGTGGCCTTCAGCGACTAGTCAATGTTAGGGCAGAACGGAGAGTGGCAAGACTGGTACAAGACAACAGAAGGGCAACAGTGCAGTGTCAGATTCCTCGCATCACCTTTCAATATCTCGTGGCCCAATGAAGTACTGATGGGGTGGTCATAATAATCTGGCCACTCAGTGTATACCATGACCTGGATGAATGAGAACCTTCACAGACATGTTATGTCTTTTGAGCTCTAGATGGCGCTGTAGTGCAATGCTAGTCAATATGCCAGTTTTCTATATGCATGCTCATATCTATGATGCACAGGAAGCTCTCTGTATGCTGTATAATGCTATACACTGATATAATGTTCTTCTAAGCAAGTAGAACCTAAATTCAGCATTCCTCAACATTTCTTGTCCCTCATGGTGGTGAGATCTCACTGGTAGAATTTTCAAAGCACCCATCACATATAAAGTGAGATCAAAGCTTATAGAACATTTAGAGACAATGAAGAAAATACTTTTATATTTCATAGTAGCACTGCAATCGCTGAATAACCAGCAACGGGAAACAATTAGTTCTGGTGCCCTGACAATGACTATATAGCAGACAGCAGCATGGAGTCCTGGGTCCCGACTATGACTATATAGCAGACTGCAGCATGGAGTCCTGGGTCTCGACTATGACTATATAGCAGACAGCAGCATGGAGTCCTGGGTCCCCACTATGACTATATAGCAGACAGCAGCATGGAGTCCTGGGTCCTTACAATGACTACATAGCAGACAGCAGCGTGGAGTCCTGGGTCCTGACAATGACTATATAGCAGACAGCAGCATGGAGTCCTGGGTCCCGACTATGACTATATAGCAGACAGCAGCGTGGAGTCCTGAGTCCTGAGTCCTGACAATGACTATATAGCAGACAGCAGCGTGGAGTCCTCGGTCCTGACAATGACTATATAGCAGACAGCAGCATGGAGTCCTGGGTCCCCATTAGGACTACATAGCAGACAGCAGCATGGACTCCTGGGTCCTTACAATGACTACATAGCAGACAGCAGCGTGGAGTCCTGACAACGGCAGGGTATTGTTCCAAATGGCCATGCCCATGCTTCATTTACTTATATGACATTATTAAATGAACCCGGACACCCGCTGACCCAGCAAGAACACATCCAACACACCCCTATCCCGGGTGACTCACCTCCTTAGTCAACTCATATACCAGCTGGTACAGCAGGGGGGTGCAATCCACTCTTAGGGTGTAGTTTCCTGGAAAGTAAAATACATTTATTCATGGGGAATCTGTCAGGAAGAAAACACCTTGAAATGGAAGCCATTACTCTGCGACTCTAACTAGTTAGTTCATCTGCTGATCAAACGGAAAGGAGCTTCCATCGCCATAGGATGTCAGTTAAAGCCACACAACAAATACATTGTTTCTATTCGACCCTTTATTATCCCTTCATTTGCCCTAATTAACTTCTTCTTCCCCTTTTACCCTTCACTATTATCTTCCCGCTGATTTATGATTTCTACTTTTTTCAAAGATGATATTTATTTTTTAAAAATTCCTATGTTTTCATTCATTTTATGGTTAATTTCTGGGGGGCTTTTTCTTTTTAATGCACCGCTAAAAGAAATTAAATTACAAAAATTTTTAAAAAAAGTTTAAGTATGATCATTAGAAAAATTGAAAAAAACAAGAAAACTTCAGCAGCAAGATAACAGTTAAGGGGAAAAGGGGAAGAAGAAGTTATTAGGGCTGATTAGGGTTCACTAAAAGCCTTCATTTCATTTGTAAAACACTTAGTAACAGAATCATAATTTTAGTGTCATTTTAAACGAGACAAATTATAGAATAAAATTGATATATTTATATTTTTATTTACAGTAACACTAATTTATTGTTAAATTCCCACTGATCAAAATAAAAAATTGTTTCTATTTGACCCTTTATTATCCTTTAATTTACCCTCATTGGTCCTAATTAACTTCTTCCCCTTTTCCCCTTTTCTATTATCTTCCT